CAATTATTTCACTGGAAACCACATTTTGTCTGCCCAGGTAAAGGTAAAGGGGCCCCTACCATTAGGTCCAGTCGTGACCGACTCTGGGGTTGCGGCACTCATCTCGCTTTACTGGCCGAGGGAGCCAGCATACAGCTTCCGGGTCATGTGGCCAGCATGACTAAGCCGCTTCTGGCGAACCAGAGCAGCGCACGGAAAAGCTGTTTACCTTCCTGCCGGAGTGGTACCTATTTATCTACTTGCACTTTGACGTGCTTTCGAACTGCTAGGTTGGCAGGAGCAGGGACCGAGCAACGGGAGCTCACCCCATCGCGGGGATTCGAACCGCTGACCTTCTGATTGGCAAGTCCTAGGCTCTGTGGTTTAACCCACAGCGCCAGGAACGTGTGCTAATCAGTTTCATTGGAGTTCCAATGTTTTCTCCACCTTATACAGGAATAATTTAAGAATCCCACCCTTAATCGCTTTTTTCCTAGGCTGAAAAATCCAAAATGACATTGCCTTTCTACGCATGGAAGGTGTTTTAAGCCTTCGGATCTTCTTAGGTTGACCTTTTTGTACCTCATTCACTCCCCCCCCCATTTTTAGAGTTAACAGTGCCCACCTTTTGTTGAATTGTTAGTATAATGTAACATAAAATAAAACACCCACCTCCTTTTTGGACTGGATAATGCCCAATGCCTTCAGACAGGGCCTGAGCCCTTTGTGAAGGCAGGAGAACAAAATGTGTCAATGCAGAGCTGCTTTGAACTTGACTCCTTGAAGTGGAAACCCAAGATTGCATTTCTTAATTTTTACCATATAGTTGCATACTGTGGTAGTGCTGCTTTTGTGACCCACCTTTGATCAGGTCATCATGACCTGGCAGTTAGTCTTCTTCACCCACCGGCTGAGGACCAAGTGTGTAATGTGTGTAAATTGTTAAAACAAAAAAAGCATTAAAAATGAAATTGGCCATCTAGTTATTCCAGATTCTGCATGAAATAGAAGCAGAGTTTGCAACCCATGTAAATTGCACAAATTAAATACATTTGCATAATATAGTCTGCCATTTTAGCTTGGTTGCATAATTATCATGGTTCTGCAAGAACAACCCAGATGTATTTAAGCTTATCATTACAGCAGTAAGGGCTTGCTTTCTTCTTAATGGAAATTCTTTATTTGGGTACAAATACTCAAATTCTGCACTTCTGTGGAAATTGTGGTGCACACACAGCTCCCTGCATATTTAATCAAACTAGAGTTTGCTAAGCATGTAAAAGCATGGGAAATATATATTTTAAAAGGCAGACTTCAAATGACTAAAAGAAAATCTAGTTTAAAAACATAGAAAGTTGACTCAGTTCAAGAGGAGCACATTGGGTGCAAGAGAGTCAACTTCAATCACATGCAGTTGCACTCAGCTTTCAAAGGGACACATGGCTACGGAAGGTTCTCCCAGTGAATCCTCAGAATTAATAGCCTTAGTGCTCACAAGCACAAGAAGTAATCTCTGGACTGGATGGACCTTTGGTCTGATCCCAACAAAACTCTTCTAACATTCATGGAGCCTGTAAGGAGGCAGAAGATGGGAATTATAATATAGTTTACCATCTAAGCCAGCTAGAACTCAGATGGCTAAAATAGTGTGTAGTTCCCCTAACCCTCGGAGCCGGCGCCTCCTTCTCCGCTACCACCACACTGCGTTCTTCTGATCTCAAAGCTAACAGCTCCCTCTTCTGACTAGGCTTGGGAATGAATCACAGATACTTATCTTTTGGCTAATGCTGCCACCTTCTGTTGATCTATCTATTTGCATGCCCACATCTCAAAAAAAATTAAAAAAAATGTGTTACTGTGGGCACGTGCAGTTGTAACTCCTGGTCTCTTCAATTTTGCAAAAATCTTCAACCTTGTGTCCCACTTTATGCATCTTTATTCACAATAGTTGGACCTCTACACACTTTCAAGGTCTGCCTTTCTATCACGACCTTTAAGATCAACAGAATAGTCAGCACCTTTGTAACTGTACCAAGCCTATGTGCCAAGTTGGAAAGAGCAAGACAGGCACAAAAGCACTCTTCCTAGCCACCCCAAAGTTGTTGAATTCCCGTTTCTGTATAATTCATTCAAGTGCTATATCATGTTCCTCAATGGACTGGGGTGGGTTAACTGTTTCATGCCAGCTGCTGATAGGACACGTCAGTCTCAAAGCAAATTAAGGGACACCAACGCAGGTGGCGTTCTGGGTTAAACCAGAGCCTAGGGCTTGCAGATCAGAAGGTTGGCAGTTTGAATCCCCACGACGGGGTGAGCTCCTGTTGCTCAGTCCCTGCTCCTGCCAACCTAGCAGTTTGAAAGCATGTCAAAGTGCAAGTAGATAAATAGGCATTGCTCCGGCGGGAAGGTAAACGGCGTTTCCGTGCGCTGCTCTGGTTCGCCAGAAGCGGCTTAGTCATGCTGGCCACATGACCTGAAAGCTGTATGCCGGCTCCCCTCAGGCAGTAAAGCGAAATGTGGTTTGAATTGTGATACAGCATTAGTTTTCTTTCCCATTTAATTAACCAACCTAGCAACATTGGTGCTATTAATGTTTGCTGTTGCTGATTGTCACTGTGCTTATATTGTTCAAGTAGTTATTTAACAAAATTTATATACTGCTTGATTGTAAATAGAACCTCTAAGCAGTTTACATGCACACCCTTTTCAATAAAATATGTATTTCTTTGGACTATGCTGCTATCTAAAGTAATTGTTACGGTTTGATCTTTTTGCATTCCATTTCATTCTTTACACCACCACCACCCGACACCTGTGTGTGTATGTGTGTTTGCCAGCTATGGACTGATTACACTTCACACATCTGATGAAGTGGATTTAAATCCAGAAAAGCTTACACCATAATGGATATGTTAGTCTTTAAGTTGCCACAAGACTCTCATTTTGAGCCTCATTTTAACTGCTACTTGCCGTAGTAAAGAGTAGGGTTGAAATGAAGCGCACACGTACCTAAAAGTCAAGCAAATCAAAAGGCAGTGGAATGTTTCCGTTTCTTGGTCATGTCAAAAGTCCTTGGGGGAGGGCCGCAGCCAGTGGTGACAGATGCCCAGTGAGATGGGGTAGGGCGGGAGACCAGGAGGCCAGGAGTAGATGTAGCTAGATCTAATCAACAACAGGCAAAGCCAACTCATTGTCCCCATCCTTCTATTTGTTGAGATCTACATGGACAACATTAATGCAGGAAGTCCTAGATTTAATCTCTCATAACTACTTGTAGGGCTAGGAGACCCTTGTCTGAAACTCTGGAGACCCCTGGATGGTTAAGTACAGTCAAAGGCGACTATGAGATTGCGGCGCTCATCTCGCTTTCAGGCCGAGGGAGCTGGCATTTATCCACAGACAGCTTTCTGGGTCATGTGGCCAGCATGACTAAACTGCTTCTGATGCAGTGGGACACCGTGATGGAAACCAGAGTGCACGGAAATGCCATTTACCTTCCCACCACAGCGCTACGCTACCTATTTATCTACTTGCACTGGTGTGCTTTTGAACTGCTAGGTTGGCAGGAGCTGGGACAGAGCAATGGGAGCTCACCCTGTTGCAGGGATTCGAACTGCCAACCTTCCAATTGGTAAGCCCAACAGCTCAATGGTTTGGACCACAGCGCCACCCGTGTCCCTGCAACAACAGGACCTATGGTTTGGTGTGATATAGAAGAGCTTCCTATATTCCTATGTTTCCATGACCTGGTGGACTGCAACAACCTTCCTTCTCCCCTGCCCAGAAAGTGTCTGGGGAACAGAATAAGGACAGCACCCAATGCCAAATTTTCATCAACACATGAATTATGTCCATGGGCAGATGTGAAGGACACCACACCCTCCCCTCCAGTGCTCCTATCATACCAAGCAAGACAGACAATTAAAAAACAAAAATTTTTTATTTGGTCCTTTGGAACCTGAGTTTGAAAACCACCCATGGGATAATTCGTATTATACAGGGACTGATTACAGATTTGATTTACAATTGATAAAATATCCTATGTTTTCTTAAGAGCTGGACAATATTTACATGGTTAAAAACTATTCACAGCTCGAAGAGAGTGAACAGAAAAACACGCACACACACATACACACACACACACAAAAGAAGAACATTGAAAAAGAGGGGGGGAAAGGAAAGGAGACATTTTGGACAGGGATAAAAACAAAATACAGAGGAACTCACATGTTCAGCCACTCCCTGGCCTGAGATGACTGAGCTGGGAAAGGAGGAAGGAGACGCAGAGTGACACTGATTGATAGTGGAGATGGTGGGGGAGAAGGAAAGGGGGAGAAAAATCAACTTTCTGTTCATTGCTACTTGATTAGGTGGAGAGAAAATGGAACGGGACACGGGGGAGTAGGGATGGAAAGGTAATGGCATGATGAAATGATGGCACTGCTACCCTGTCCCCCAAAGGTCCTTGCAATGCCACTTTAGCCCTCAACTTGGCCACACCCTGCCTTTCTGAGCTCCCCAACACCAGCTTGGCCATGCTCCCAGGTACAAAAAGCCCAGCTACACCTGCCTCCTGAGACAGCAAGGGCGCATCTGCGTTACCAACACATTGGCTTTATACTCGCTTAAACCCTAATGGCTTCTTTCAAAGAATCCCAAGGAAATCGCACTCCATTGTCTCTCGAGACAGACGGATGCCAACAACTGTTAAGCAATCCCTCCCCAATGCTCCCTGGAAAGAGGAAAGGGGGATTAAACCAGTTTAACTCCGTAGTGAAGATATGCCCTACGAGAGAGCTGCTTCAAAAGGGTGGGGCTGCAACACAATAGCTTGCATTTGTCGCTCTCTCCTCACAGCACACTGCAATGAACTGTAGAAATTCATATACAGTGGTACCTTGGGTTACAGACGCTTCAGGTTACAGACTCCGCTAACCCAGAAATAGTACCTTGGTTAAGAACTTTACTTCAGGATGAGAACAGAAATTGTGCACCGGCGGCAGCAGGAGGCCCCATCAGCTAAAGTGGTACCTCAGGTTAAGAACATTTTCAGGTTAAGAACAGACCACCGGAATGAATTAAGTTCTTAACCCGAGGTACCACTGTATTCAGATTACGGAGAGTGCCTGAGCCCTAGAGCTTAGGAATTCAACCCTCTGCAGGAAGAGGCTTCCGGAAAGGATTCATGTGACATTACTGACCCACCCTACAGCCATGTCATTGTGGCTCCTATACTCCAGCAAACTATGTTCCTCAGAAGTCACTGTAGGAGGGATTAGTGAAAATCTTATAACCTCCTTGAAAGTCGGGCTTCCACCTTCTTATGGCAGGGCTCCCCACATCTTCCGCAGCCACGAAGCAGGCAGAAATTGGTGAACTGTTTCCTGGTCCCTGCATCTGTGTGCTTCGATAAAGGCTCACACCTGCTGCGATTTCTGCCTGCTAGAGATCGGCCACAAGAAGGGGAGGAGGAGATGGCAACCCTTCTTGGAAGGCAAAATAAAGCATGGCTTGAGGGGAGGGGAGGAACACACGCTTCCTCTCACTGGTTCCGCCACCACTGCACCCCTTCGTCTTTGAGGGAAGCGGGAAAGACTGGGCCCTGCAAACAAGCAAGGATTGGGAGCTACTCTAAACCAGAGCCACAGATGCATCCAGGACAACACACAACTTAATTTCCATTTCCCAGCTGAAAGCTGCCATTTGCAGAGCAAGGGCACGGTGCAGAGGGGCATTTTTATGGTCCCTCAAGTTATTATCACTGTGCTCTCTCTGACTTGCCTGGCAGTGGTTGTGCTCCATACATGGCAACGTTCCACCTTTGAGCAGTCAATGGTGGTGGAGTGTCACTCATGTTCCCTACTTTTTTTGCTTGAAGCTGCAACCAGCCCAAGAGCAGGAGAGGCCAGTGGTGTTGGGGCTGACAACAACTGGCATGTTATCGTATTTCTCCCTGAATATGGAAGTGAAAGGAATGACTGGGAGCAGCCTCAGCCCAGAGTACATTATCCACAATGTCCCCAAGGTGGGCATTTTGATGTCCCAAATCCTGTCCCAGCCTCCCGCTTTCCCACTCCCCCTCACAGTGCTCCACACGTCAACATGTACAGACAGGGGTGGGCGGGAGTACAAATGAACTAGGCTCTTGACTGACTGCTTGTACCGGCAGAAAGGCCCTTTCCTAATGGAGGGATTGGACTCATTTTATAGAGCAACACAATGGGGAAGACACTGCTGGTGATGAGCCCCCACAGCTTTCCGGGACGCCCTCCTCCCACCCTGTGCCCGAACCAATGAAGTTGGCAGGAAGACACCATCCCTGCTACCCTGTGCCTGAGCCCACAAGGTGGACTAGAAACCCTGTCCCTGATACCCTGTTCCCGAGACCCAACTCCACAGATCTCCATCAAGCTCAGCCCCACACTGGGTCCCCTGAAGGGCAAAAGCCATGTCCTGTCAACCTCAACTATGCATCTGTCCCAAGTGAGTGATGGTGAGCACGTGTACCACTGGCGATCCATCCAGAATCTTCTTTAAGGGTGATGGCAGAGACCAACCTCTCCCTTACGGAGGGTCCAGAGGGACAACATACTCCAGATTCCTTCCCAGCATAAGGCTATTCTCCTTGGGTGGGGAAGGGGTGCAGAAATTCCCACTGGGGCATTTCTAAACTCACTTTTCTGGAGGCTAAGCATCTGACTGCAAAGCAGAACTGGTGGAGACCAAAAGTGCTAAATTGACTGAGCTGTACATGAAAGGTTTTCGGGTAGCTTTCAAATCAGCGCCAAATTGGAAGCGCCAGAAGGCACAAGGGGAGGTCAGTCGGTAAAGGGTTCCTTGTTCTCCTCCACCACAGCTGCTGACCCCTGGCTATTCTTCCTTTGGACTGCAGACTGCCAGGAAGGGAAATTGGGAGCAACCCTGCTCCTCTGTATCATGTGAGCTGCAGGGACCACAAGTGTGAGTGAACTTCCAAGCCCTTCTCAAACACCCAGGCAGCTGTGTGCCTCCCTTGCAGACTCCCAATCACTTCCTTGCAGCCTACACCCATGTCCCCAAGCCCCACTCCTCCCCACACCAAGTGTCCCCAGCAATATATATATATACAGACAAGCCCCTGTACAGATCAAAAATGCCATGATGCTAAACTTAAGCCCCAGGGGCAACATCTCCTGCAATACCCATGTGGGTGGGTCAAATGGCTTGAAGCCTGCTTGGAAAAATGTGCTTCTCTAGGCTTTGTTACTACACTTGCTCCTCCACACAAGACTGTGGTGCCAGTCTTTCTGAGGGGCACAGGGGCAGGAAGAGAAGCAAAGAAGGCAGGCAGAGACTCTTATCCCAAACACCACATAAATTTGGCAGCAGGAGGTTCCACGGCTCGTGCTTAAATCAATCTTGCAAAAAATACAAAACAGTAAGAATAACATTTTCATAGCCAGCACTCCCACCATATGTGTTGCAAGACAGCTTGCACGTTGAGTCTAGCCTGCCACTCGTCCTGCATAAAAATGGTGCTCACGCTAGGGGAGTAGTTTAACACAGATTTAGCTAGTTTGCAGTTAACAGCACAATGGCTCTGCCATTTTTTTGTACCCCTCCGGCAACCCAGTCTGCAAAACAAAAAACAAAACAAAACTTCACCACCTAGCCAACCCAGTGCTGGAAGGGAGATGGAAGTCCATCTTACAAGTCATCACCCCTCCATCTGCCAATGACAATTCCAGACGTGAGAGAGACAGAGACAGGATGGGCCTACATACCCCTCATCCCAGACCCCACCCGACCCCATTGCAGCAGCCAGCTGACATTTTTAACGGTGGGGTGAGGCACACACACAGACAGACACATTGGCCAGAGGTATATTATTGTTGCAGCAGCCTTAGGATTTTTGGCGGCTGTGGGAAGGGTCGAGTCCCAGGACCTGGCGCCTGGGAGCATCTGAGCATCGCCTGCACCTGGGGCTGGGACACGTCCCTCTCCAGGGCTGTGACATTCCCTTGCTCTCCTAACTTGACAGCAGCTCTGGATAAAGTGCATCATCTGTGGGGAGGCAGGTGGGGAGGGGAAGGAGAGAGGATTTCAAGGGAGGGGGAACCTGAGCAGCTCCCTGCCTGACCCCAGGGGATGGGAGGAAAGGCGCTTGGCTTGAGACACCCAGTCTGTCTGTCTGTCCATCCTTCTCAATCCCGATGGCTCAGTAATGGCGGCTCGGGCAACGCCTGAGACAAGTGGGGCCAGAAAAAAGGCAGAAGCAGAAGAGCGGCAGGGAGGGCGGGGCCATTTGTCATAGTGGCCGGGGCCCATGTAGCCCCGCCACCTCGGGCGTCAGCAGCGGATTGTGCGTCCCCTTGGTCGACATCCAGTCATTCAGAAAGGCCTGGGTGGCTTTGCGATGTGCCAGGCGGTGGGTGATGGAGAAACCGGCGTTGCCTTCCAGCTGGGACAGAATCACTAGAACCTGCCTGGAAGAAAACAAAAGGAAAGGGGATAGACAGGTCAGTGAAAGAGAGAGGAAAATAGTGCTCCCCGCGAGTCTACAGCCACAAAGGAAGGCCCAAGAGCAATGGTAGGAATACAATTCTAATTGGGCAACAGCCCCCTGGCTTTCCAAGTAGCCCTTTCATCACGCAGGAAGGTCTCAGATTTCCCAAAGGCTTCCAATACACAAACACTCTCTGGGATCAATTCTGGCCTGGTGCAGACTTAACATTCCAGATCTCTTAACCAGGTGAAGAGCAGAGGTGCGAAACTTCCAGCACACAGGTCAAATGTGGCCCAGCAGGCCTCACCATCTGGCCTACAGTCATTTGGGAGAGGCAATGCCCATCCAGCCTACAAGTGATATCCTCCATCCATTGTTTTTGTTCTTATTTTTATTGTGTATTTTGTGTTTTTGATATCTATGGATGAAGGGCAGTATACAAATTTAATAAATCATCGAAGGACCAATCGGGAGCTTAAGGCGAGATGGACGAAGGCATGCTCCAATTGCCCATCAGATGATGGGTGGTGTGGGTGTGCCTTGCTTCAGAAAGGGGAAGAGGTTTCTATTGAAATTACTGTCCAAATCAGGATGCAGTGGAGTCTCCATTTTAGCAGTGGTTTCAGTGGGATCTACTTCTCCCTCCCAGTGCTGCCCCTTGAACTTCTCAAAACTGGAGGTTGAAAAACAATGAAGGCACCTGGACTTGTCAGTTGAGGAGAGAGGGTGGCCCTCCTCCTTACATTCTACAAGGTGGCAAACTGCTTCATCCCCCCCCCCCGCAACGTGGCAATTCTGCAACTTAAGCACACCAACGGGAAATTAAATCTAGTTCTCTCAGCCCCCCGCTAACTCCCTCTCACCTGTGCAGAGGTGGCACACTGTCCTGCGTTTTGAGGCTGCCTCGTGTCGACACAACGTTGAAGCTGTCTGTGCAGTCGCACTGGACGTGCAGGTAGGATTTAGGGTGCCGGTTCTCCACCACCACAATGAGACCTGCCCAGCCATGTGTCAGGTAGTAGCAAGTCATCCCCTCGCGCCCCTGCGGAAGCAAACCAGCCAGTCAGTCTCGGCCCCAGACCAGCGAATCCTGCCTGCCTCCACCTCACCACCCACATGGTAATACAGAGTCCCAACCTCCAACACTCGGGGCCCAGGCTCACTCCAACTCTTTGGGAAGATGCACGTTCCCAGGAGCGCATGCGCAGCTGCAGGTGCTTGGCTGCTTTCCAGAGAGAATATCCACATACAAAACCCACCCACCCAACTAACAGCAGGACACCTGCCTGCAGAAAGCTGTAGGATTTTATGTAGCTTAGTAAGCTAGGAATTAAGGAACTCTAACCTCACATCTGCTATGGACTCTGTAGGTGGTCTTAAACAAGCCACCGAGTCTGCTTTGCACCCCAAGTGTTTTGCCTTGGAGTCTGGTAACACCTCTTGCTTTTCTGGAGGGAGGATAGAGAGGGGTGTGGGAGTACCGGGGACAGTTTGCATTTGCTGCTCCACCCACTATTTACTCTGACCCCGCCCACCACGGGCATGCGGCCCTTGGGAGATTGCTCAGAAAGGAATGTGGCCCACAGGTTGAAAAAAGGTTCCCTAGCCCAGTGTTTCCCAACCGGTGTTCCGCGGCACACTAGTGTGCCGCGAGACGTTGCCTGGTGTGCCGTGGGAGGGAGGCGGGCGAGTCGGGCGGCGAGAGGCGGGGCGGCGAGAGGCGGGGCGGCGGCGGCGAGGATCCGCGTCGAGCCGGGGGCGGCTCCGCGGTGGTGGTGCCGAGGTTTCTCTCTCCATTCTCCCCTCACACACACACACAAGAAATAACACAGGATCAGCTGACAGGACCCGGCCAATGGGGTGGCGGCGGGGCAGCGCGCGCAAAAGGGAGGAGCGCGAGACGGCGGCGGCGCAGGGCGGGAGGGCGGCGCATTGCGCGTGCTCAAACCCGCCCTCCGAGGCGCACAGGGGAGCTGGGCAAGCGCCTTCTTCAACCACGCGCTCGTTTAAAGAGGCAGCGCCCGGGCGGAACAGAACTCTGTGCCTCTCGCCTAGGGATGAAGGCGGGCACCGGCTTAAGCCAGTAGTAGCCTAATAATGCATTAACTTCCGTGGGACTTCCAAGTAAACACAGTAGCCCAGCGCCTCCCTCCCCAAAAGGAGGGGGAATTACAGCAGCGCAGGCGACTCCTGCGTCTCCCCGATATTTAAGGCTGCCATCCCTCGTGCACACTTACGCGGGAGCAAAACCCCGTGAACAAACTAGGGCTTACTCCAGAGTAAATACGGGTAGGATCTGGCTGCAGTTGTACAAGAAGAAGCAATTGATAACGTTTTCGCGCCTTCGGGATTGCCTTCACGCCTTCCTCCTCCCGGGTCCTTGAGAGCGCGGGAAGCGGCAGCGCGAGACCGGCGTTGAGCCTGGTAGGTATTGCGCTTGCCAAGGCAGTCATTTGGGAAATGAAAACTTGCAAAGCAAGCAACCAGTTCAATCTGAAGTACGTGTATGCTTAATATCCTGTATCTGAAACCTGTTCTGCCCCCTCCCCCACACTTGGTGCCATTTTCATCTACACATGCAGCAGAGTAAGTTGACCCAGAATAGTACCAATTCAGATGGGAGAATGACAGTGCTGAATGCTTTCCCATGTAGAACAGTCCCTGCAAATAAAAACCTAGCATATTTGGAAGAGGGATGCTAGCCTAACCATTACCTTCTATGCTGTTACTATTTTTTTATTTTTTTTTACATAAGTAAAAAGTTACCTTTCCCCATCTGGCATGGTGGTGTGCCTCGAGATTTTTTTCATGAAACAAGTGTGCCTTTGCCCAAAAAAGGTTGGGAAACACTGCCCTAGCCCTTACATGTACAGTACTGAGACAGTGCGTGTGAAGCAAGTTTGAACACTTTAAAGCGCTCCATAAATGTTTAAGCATCACGGCCACCCTTTTCCCAGTAGGAAGGCTCTTAGGCAGCTGGGGTGGGCAAAATATCTGCTGCAAACCCTGGAGAGCTGCTGCCTGTCAGAACAGATACCAGCCTTCTCCAACCTGGTGTTCTCCCAGCCTTCTAGATGTTGCTGGGAGTTGTTGTCCAGCCCTCCATCCCTCACTGCCCTCTGATGGTAGCCAATATGCTGATAGTGAGAAGCAGGAAAGAACAGACGCTCTGAAGCAGCCGGGTGGGGCTGGTGCCTGAACGTACCTCGTGCCGTTCGCCCTTGTTCTCGGTGAGAAGAATGATGGCATCTGCCAATGTGGTGGACTGAGCCTCAATCTGTTCCACCATCACCAAGCGGGAGCTGTAGATGGCCAGGATGTAGCTGGAGATGTCAGCAGCTGGGCATCCACTGCCAGTAGTAGGGCTGGAAACTGGTAGAGGGCGAAATAAGCAAGTGAGGCAGCATCAGGCTGCAGGGCCCCCTGTCCACAAGGGAGTCCCCCCCCCAAGAATCCCTACCCATCCTGCCATGTGGCCTTTCCCTCACTCAAGCATTTCCAGAGGCCAGCTTAGGAACATGAACTGCCTTCCCTGATTGCAATACAGGTCTGGTACTTAGTCTCCAACACAAGCCAAGACTTGCATTCTTGAAAGGAAGTACAGAACTGTGCAATAGTAAAAAGGAGAAAAGTACAGAAAAGGCCATCTAGAGAAGCCCCCGCCTTCCCAAGTGTAAAATAAACCGGTCCCCGCCCCTTACACACAGGGGCATTCAGAGAACTTGGACGACAAGCTTCAAATCACTACATACATTGTTGGTATTGTCTACTCAGAAGGAAGTCCTACTGAGTTCAATGGGGCTTTCTCCTAAGTGATTGGGGTTAGGACTGCAGTCTGCAAGAAGCCAATGTTTAAGCAATGAAGGCAAATTTCAACTGAGAATTAAGGCCGGGGAAGGGAACCTTCCCCAAATGGGACTCCCAACTCTTATCCGTCCCCCACCAGGATGGCCAATGGTCAAGAATGAAGGGAGTTTCGGTCCCAGCAAATTGTGAAGGATCACAGGCTCCTTCGTTGCTTGAAGCTGTTCTGAAAACACAGGTGGCTTTTTCTTCGAACAGTGACCCCCCCTTTTTTTAATCCTCCCCCCAAGCTCTCAGCAGGCAACCCTATTGCTGGAACTGGCAGCCCCACTGCCCAAGGGGAGTCAGAAGTAGACTCTGCCACGCAACCCTTACCTTGGCTTGAGGAGGTGCCTGTCACTGGGGTAGTCCAGTGGTTGAAGGCACAGCACACCACAGCATACTCGCCCGGCTCCAGCATGACATCACAGTTGACAAACTTCTTGACTGCCCGCTTGCTGTGCGCCATCAGGCGGCCCAGGCTGAGCTTGCTGCCATTGATGAAGGTGGCTCGGAAGACCATGATGCAAAGGTCCAGCAAGTGGCTGTCCACTGTGTCTGAGCGCCTGCCAAGGGAAAGGAGGGAAGGGGCCATGGCTCAGTGGGAAAGCATGCAGGAAGTGCCAGGTCCAATCTCTGGTGGGGCTGGGAATCAGTCTGTGGGAAACTGCAGCCACATTGAATTGGATGGGCCAATTGCTAGACTCCTGGTGTAAAGGAGTTCCCTACATTCCTGTGAAGTGCAGTGGAGTCAGAAGTCACTGCACAACCCGCTGTACCCCACTCTCTTTCACCAAATAGGATAACACAAACAATATGGGGTGGGGGGCAAAAATATGGGTCTTGCCAGACTGCTGTCTTGGTAAATAGTGGCTTGCAGCAGTGGCCTCACCACCATTTCCACTGTTTCTTTGTTTAGAGTTTCTGTCTTCAGTGAAACATAGAATTGTAGATTTGGCAGGGACCTCAAGGGTCATCTATTGGCAGAGAGAGAAGGATCCAAGGCAAAAGGAGGGTAGCCCTTCTGCTCCTTTAATAGCTGGTGAAAGCCTAGCTTCTCCAATGACACCCTGGGCAACAAGCTGCATCTGCTGCACAACTACAGACAGAGCCCAGCCTGAAACCCTGGAGGGCTGCTGCCAGTCAGTGTAGACAGCACTAAGCTAGATGGATCAATGGTGTAAACTTTGTAAGAGGCAGCTTCCTATGCTCCCTAGGTACAAGGGTCCTGCTTTCTGCTACACATCTGGCCACCCTAGAGAAAAAAGCAGGCAGATGAGCATGTTAAAAAAAAATCCAACATCCCATTACTGGGTCCTGTGGTGAAGTTTGTAGCAGTTAAAAGTGGATTCTGAGTCTGAAAATCACAGAAACTAATGACTAAAGATGAGAGAAGAGGACTTGTCTATTGTAAGGACTCACAGGGGAGAGGCAGTGTGTGTCTACACATATATAAACACCACACCTTTCAAAGAGGGCCAGTGTCATGGCTTGAGGACCAGATTTTCTCGGCAGTGGTTTACCTTCCTGATAAGTATTAAGTGGCAGCCTTTCACTGATATAGAAGGAAAGGGATGTTCTCAGGGCCAATCATCACGGCAGGGGCTAAACCTGTTCTATTGAGAAACAATAATGCCCCTATCTGTGTAGCCACAGTTATCCCGTCTAGATAGCTGCAACCTTCATTCTGTTCCTTAGTCATGTTAGAGCAGGACGAATGGCAGGAAATGGCTTTTATGTTGAGAGAGAATAGCAGTGCCACCACCATCATGCTATATGTCAGCTCAATAGCACAGTTGAGCTGGAACTGGCGATGGGACTAAACAAAAGAGGGGTCAATGCACAAGTGACAATTGCCAAGATGCAATGCCAGTTCTAGAGTAATTAGGGTGATGTAAACAGTGTGCAAGAGCCTTGAATCTTTCTCATGGCTGATGAGTGTGATCTGCGACCTCACCTGCTGCCTTCCTGGAAAAGGGCAAACTCCAAAGTTGCACGCTCCAGCACAGTCAGTGAGGTGACGGTAATGGGTCCACTGGCTTTGTTGGGAAAGGTGCCCTGCACACGAACCTCATGCCAGTCTGAATGGAGCTTGCAGATGTCCACTGAGTCGAAATACCTGGGCAAGGGAACAGGCAGTTGTCAACCCCGGAAGCAGCTGTAGCCAAGATCAGACAAGTCTCTTTTAGACAGCAATCAAGGCACCCCTGTAAAATCTTCATTGGTAATGGCACAGTTTCTTGGGGGTGGCGGAAGGAGGACCACCTTTTTGTGGAAGAGACAGCTGTGTTGCTGTCCATCTTTCTCTTCCCTCTACACTAGGGTGGCAAACCTTTTCTGACCTGAGGACCAAGGGCAGAATGCAAAAGGGGGTAGTGCCACTCTCATACCCAGCACAGACAAAGCTCCAATCTGCTCCTCAACCAATAAGTGCCAATCAGCTGGAGGATGGAGGGAGCATTTTTCTCCCATCATAGCATGAACTGAAAGATTCTCCTCTCCTTCCAGGAATGTGCAGTAACATACTTTGCAACGGCCTTCCTGACACTGCAAAAATTGCCTCTTTGTTCTCTGGCATGCCACTCCTGCTAACAGGTCGAGAGCGCTCTGGAAAACTGGAAGGAGTGATTCTTCCTGTTCCCAGAGTACTTCCACCTGCTTGCAATGAAGCACTCAGGGGTTCCCACATTCAGCGCCATAGGTGCAAATTTTGCCGGGAGCTTGAGGCCCACATTAAATGGCTTGGCGTGCCTGATTCTGGTCTCACACTTTTAAAATATTCTAGTTTTCTGTGAGCTCCATCACAATAGAGGGAGAATGCACAGCCCCCAAAGAACTGGAAGCAAATTCAAACTAACAACTCATGAGAAGGACAGGGGATTCAGAGCAGAAATGTTATTTTACCATTAGGTGCTGTGATGTTTTTTAAATGGAGAAGAGCAGCTGTTCTTGTTTCTCCCTAACAAGGCACGATCAGCAAGCTAACAATAAACCATGGCTTAAAATTGGCTAGCCATGCTGACTTGTTAGGGAGAAGCAAACCACAAACCCTGGTTCAGAAGGAACAGGTTGGTTTGTCCCATTCGCACCTGGGAAGGAGCAAAGCGGGAGTGAATGAGAAGTATATGAGCACTCTGCTTGTACACAGCAAAGCATGGTAAGTCAGCAGTACATGTGTCTGTGCCTTAGATTTGCATCAGAACCAGCCAAATCCAAGCTTCTAAAGGCAGCAGAGCAAGGACCCAGAGACACAGGACAGTCTGTGCAATTTTGGCAGTACCTGATGAAGTCACTGTACTCCATCCAGAAGACCCCTTCACTGCTCCCGTGGGGCATCAGCTCATGCCGCAAGTGTGCCGGCCAGTGGGGCCATTCGTCAGACCAGCTACCGTTCCAGGAGAAGCGGCCCCAGGGGTTACGGAGTCGCAGGAGCCTGAAAGAAGCAGCAAGACAGAACTGAACTTAAGCTTCTTTATTTAAGTTATGAAGTTCTACTCTGCCTGCTTTTAAAAAAAGAAACCCTAAAGAGGGCTTACAACAGAGCAACATTCGTCAATAGCCACAACAGAGACATTTCTTCCAGAACAACAGAATCAGATAAATCAGGAAGTTAAATTGCTTAAAGTATGCAGGGATATAAACAGTTTTTATGAAGGGTGGAACCAGACTAAAAGATTTTAGAATGAGTTAATTATTTTAGTTTCAGTTGATGAATCAATGATCAATCAATCAAATCTGAATGTGTGTCAAAACGTTATATCTAGTGGACTTTATATTACATTATAGTAGTGGACTTCATTTTTAGATTCTGCATACATGTGCTGAAAGAGGCATCATCCTAGAAAAGCCATTCTCGCTTAAAACAAATACAAATGTCATCTGCATTTATAATAAGAACTTCTAATTTGTTTTTTGCCTGCCCAATTAATTGAGAACCTGCTCAACCAACCCAGAATTTTTAAATGGATGAATCTAACAAATCAACCAACTAAGTTTGCAAACATTTCCTGAAAATAACAAAGGGTGGGCTTTGACACCATCCTTTTGGGAAGAAGAGAGATCACCCAACACAGCTTTGGGCTTCTGTTTGATTAAGACGTGATGTAAAAAAACAACCTTTTAACTGACACACAAACACACACAGGTCAGCAGAGGAGTGAAAAAAGAACCTGTCCCTTCTTTGAGGTCTAGTCAGTATGTCAGGCATAGATGGATGGTGGCTCCTGGGGCAGAGCTTCCTCCTGGAGACAGAAGGTGGGATGAGCACATTTTGGGAGAGGTGCTCATTCCCCAAGGCTTGATGAGCCCAGGGAAGTGGTCTGTTTTGAACTTTATAAACCCAGAACCAATTTTCCTGCCCATGCTCATCTCTCTCACTCTCAGATGGCCAGACACAAAGGTCCAGCAGACCGTGTTATGTCTCATTACAGTTGCCAAGACTGAGCAAGAAAACACACTTTGCAATCTGGAAATTCTGAGGCCCTTTCACCTCTTTGCCTACCTCTCAAAATGATTTCACCCTGGGGAGGCAGGCAAAGAGCTAGGTAGGAGCACCAAAGTACCAATCTCAACACACCCTAAGCACTCTGCTTTGCCATGCTATTTTTACTGAGAAAATGTTTTGGTCTTTGCAAGAGTCATGAATTGGCTCCAGTGGGATAAAATCAAAATTGCAGAATTCATCAACAAAAAATGATGCAGTATCTTGGGGAAGTTGTAATAGTATCTTACCCTACATTAAACTCCCGGCTCTTTTCTGGGAAATAGATCTGCAATATTCTTTAGTTCTCATACCTGCATCTTTCCTTAGTGTATCTCCATACGGCCTTACAGTGATGTTATGTGGGCAGATAGTTGAAGTGAACAACAATCTACGAGTCAACATTTTAAAACAGATGTGGTGAACCTTTGGTCTTCCAGATGTTGCTAAACTACAACTCCCATCATTCCTGGACACTGGCCATGCTTCCTGGGGCTGATACATGTTTTAGTTAAGCAACATCCGGAAGAACAAAGGTTCCTGCACACCTGCTTTAAACCAAACAAGCAGCCCTGCCTAATTAGCCAAGAGCCAGCAATCTTTTCTTGGCCATTTTTACCTGCACCCTTGCACATCTCGGACGTCCAATATGGAATACGCATGCCGTGGACGAAGGCCCATGCTTTCGTAGGCTGCATCATCCACCTTCATGTTGCCCCCTCCACAGGATGCGCCCATCAGAAAGCTGGAGGATGGGAAATAAAAGGGAGTGGGGAGGGGATAAGAGAAACACAAGGTTTACACTACCTGGCTTAGCATCAGGAGTCAATGGGAGGATAACTGGGGAGCTAAAGTTATCTTAAGGTATGTATCATCCCACATTTTGCATAAGCTGGAAAGGTTGTTAATGGCATGCAGAAATACAAAGCTAGTCTGCCATCAGGCTAAGGGAGGTACGACCACTACCACTACAAGATGCAGGGACTGCAGATGCAGGAATTGCTTGTGCTTTTTAGGGCTGGTCTACACATACTGCAAAATGAGATGGCACAATCCTGGCATGGCAGAGTGGACTGTACCAGACTGCAAGGGGAAGAGGGTGCCGTTTCTTAACAATCCCTTGTTGTGGAAAAACTCCCTGCAAATAATTTATTTTGGGGGGCGGGCAGGAAACAGCATGCCAGGCTAAAATATTCTAATCCACTCCTTGCTGTGCTATTTTTCTGCTTGTAGGTTTCCTTTACACACAGAAGCAATCAGAAATATGATCCTGTACCTATAGCCTGATGTAGGGCAATATTTTTTACCACTTAGAATCATAGAATCATAGAATCATAGAGTTGGAAGAGACCACAAGGGCCATCGAGTCCAACCCCCTGCCAAGCAGGAAACACCATCAGAGCACTCCTGACATATGGTTGTCAAGCCTCTGCTTAAAGACCTCCAAAGAAGGAGACTCCACCACACTCCTTGGCAGCAAATTCCACTGTCGAACAGCTCTTACTGTCAGGAAGTTCTTCCTAATGTTTAGGTGGAATCTTCTTTCTTGTAGTTTGGATCCATTGCTCCGTGTCCGCTTCTCTGGAGCAGCAGAAAACAGCCTTTCTCCCTCCTCTATGTGACATCCTTTTATATATTTGAACATGGCTATCATATCACCCCTTAACCTCCTCTTCTCCAGGCTAAACATGCCCAGCTCCCTTAGCCGTTCCTCATAAGGCATCATTTCCAGGCCTTTGACCATTTTGGTTGCCCTCCTCTGGACACGTTCCAGTTTGTCAGTGTCCTTCTTGAACTGTGGTGCCCAGAACTGGACACAGTACTCCAGGTGAGGTCTGACCAGAGCAGAATACAGTGGCACTATTACTTCCCTTGATCTAGATGCTATACTCCTATTGATGAGGCCCAGAATTGCATTGGCTTTTTTAGCTGCCGCGTCACACTGTTGGCTCATGTCAAGTTTGTGGTCAACCAAGACTCCTAGATCCTTTTCACATGTACTGCTCTCAAGCCAGGTGTCCCCCATCTTGTATTTGTGCCTCTCATTTTTTTTGCCCAAGTGCAATACTTTACATTTCTCCCTGTTAAAGTTCATCTTGTTTGTTTTGGCCCAGTTCTCTAATCTGTCAAGGTCGTTTTGAAGTGTGATCCTGTCCTCTGGGGTGTTAGCCACCCCTCCCAGTTTGGTGTCATCTGCAAATTTGATCAGGATGCCCTTGAGTCCATCATCCAAGTCGTTGATAAAGATGTTGAATAAGACCGGGCCCAAGACAGAACCCTGTGGCACCCCACTAGTCACTCTTCTCCAGGATGAAGAGGAACCATTGATGAGCACCCTTTGGGTTCGGTCAGTCAGCCAGTTACAAATCCACTGAGTGGTAGCATAGTCAAGACCGCATTTTACCAGCTTCTTTACAAGAATATCATGGGGCATCTTGTCAAATGCCTTGCTGAAATCAAGGTAGACTACATCCACTGCGTTCCCTTCATCTACCAGGCTTGTAATTCTGTCAAAAAACGAGATCAGGTTAGTCTGACATGACTTATTTTTCAGAAATCCATGCTGACTATTGGTGATCACAGCATTCCTTTCTAGGTGCTCACAGACTGTTTGCTTAATGATCTGCTCCAGAATCTTCCCTGGTATTGATGTCAGACTGACTGGGCGGTAATTATTTGGGTCCTCTCTTTTCCCCTTTTTGAAAATAGGGACAACATTTGCCCTCCTCCAGTCTGCCGGGACTTCGCCTGTTCTCCAGGAATTCTCAAAGATGACTGCCAGTGGTTCTGAAATCACATCTGCCAGTTCTTTTAATACTCTTGGATGCAGTTCATCTGGCCCTGGAGACTTGAATACATCTAGACTAGCCAAGTATTCTTGTACTATCTCCTTAGTTATTCTGGGCTGTGTTTCCTCTGCTGAATCATTTGCTCCAAATTCTTCAGGTCGGGCATTGTTTTCTTTATCGGAGAAGACTGAGGCAAAGAAGGCATTGAGGAGTTCAGCCCTTTCTGTGTCCCCTGTTTGCATTTCACCATCTTCTCCTCTGAGTGACCCCATGGTTTCTTTGTTCTTCCTTTTGCTACGAACATACCCATAAAAGCCTTTTTTGTTGCTTTTAACCTCTCTAGCAAGCCTGAGTTCATTTTGTGCTTTAGCTTTTCTGACTTTGTGTCTACACGTGCTGGCTATTTGTTTGAATTCCTCTTTGGTGGTTTCCCCCCTTTTCTATTTTTTGTACACATCCTTTTTTAATCTTAACTCAGTTAAAAGTTCTTTAGATAGCCACCCTGGCTTCTTTAGGCACCTTCCATGTTTCCGTCTCATTGGTATTGCCTGAAGTTGTGCTTTTACTATCTCCCTCTTAACAAACTCCCAGCCATCTTGAACTCCCTTTCCTTTTAGTATTACTGTCCATGGGATCTCACCCAGCACTTCCCTAAGCTTTATGAAGTCGGCTTTCTTAAAGTCGAGAAATTGAGTCCTAGTATGCTTGGCTGCTCCTTTCCGCTGTATAGTAAACTTCAGAAGAGCATGATCACTCGCGCCTAATGATCCTTCCACTTCTACCCCACTAACCAGGTCATCAACATTGGTTAGGACCAGATCTAAAATGGCTGTTCCTCTTGTTGCTTCTCCCACTTTCTGGACAATGAAGTTGTCTGCAAGGGCAGTGAGGAATCTGTTTGACCTTATGCTCTTGGCTGAGTTTGACATCCAACAAATATCCGGGTAATTGAAGTCCCCCATTACTACTATCTCCCTTCCTTTTGCATGCTTGGCCATCTGTTCCAGGAAGGCATCATCTATGTCCTCCGTTTGGCTTGGGGATCTATAGTAAACTCCCACAATGAGGTCACTGTTATTCTTCTCTCCCTTAATTTTGACCCAAATGCTCTCACTTTGGCTTTGAGGTTCTAAATCTTGGATCTCTTCACAGGTATACACATCCCTGACATATAACGCCACTCCTCCTCCTTTCTTGTCTGGTCTGTTTCTTTGAAATAGATTGTATCCCTCCATTATTACATTCCAATCGTGGGATTTATCCCACCAGGTTTCAGTGATTCCTATTATGTCATATTTAGTTTGCTGTACCAGGAGCTCAAGCTCATCTTGTTTATTTCCCATGCTTTGCGCATTAGTGTACAGACATTGAAGTCCATTAATCATTCCCCCGTGTGTCTTATTTAAGGATTTTCTCCTCCCACCACTAGGTCTGCATGCTCTTTGCTCCATTCGGTCTATGACATTTGGATGATCATCTTCATCAATTGATAGACTCCTACCTTCAGGAGCACTGTCTCCCTCCCCACATTAGTCAGTTTAAAGCCCTCCTGATGAGGTTTCTGAGATTTTTTGCAAAAACATTCCTCCCAACCGTTGTGAGGTGCAGCCCATCGCTTGCCAGAAGTCCATCTTCAAGAAACTGCATTCCGTGATCTAAGAATCCAAACCGTTCCTGTTTGCACCATTTGCGAAGCCAGTTGTTCACTTCCACTATTTTTCCCTCTCTCCCTGGGCCACGTCGTTCAACTGGGAGGACAGATGAGATGACAATTTGTGCATTTAATTGCTTCAATTTCCTGCCCAGAGCCTCGTAATCTCTTTTGATCTTCTGGAGGCTATTGCTTGCAGTGTCATTGGTTCCCACATGAACCAAGAGGAAGGGGTATTTGTCAGTGGGTTTTATGATTCCTTGCAGTCGTTCAGTTACATCTTGGATCTTAGCCCCGGGGAGACAGCACACTTCCCGAGACATCTTGTCAGGCCCACAGATCACTGCTTCTGTTCCCCTCAGTAGGGAATCCCCTATCACCACTACACGCCTCCTCTTAGGTCTGGTCGGGGTTCTTCTGTGAGCTGTCGGTTCCAAGGTCGCCTGGACATTCCCAGAGGACTGCCTTTGCTCCTCGTCGTCATATACCTGATCGACTGTAATGAGGGAGAGATCCTCAAATGGAGTCTGCTCTTCGTCTTCCATGCTAGGGGAAAGGACCTCAAAGCGATTGCGTATTTCTAAACAATCAGAGCGAACCCTGGGCCTCCTACTTCTTTGAGTCACGTTTCTCCATATATCTGGCTCCTGTGTTGGTGAACTAGCCACCTTCTCAGGGGAGTCCCCTGTCTCTTCCTTGGTGGAGACGGTGTGCTCTGTTGCTTCCAAGAAGAGTTCCAGCTCTCTAATTCTTTGGAGCGTAGCTACACGTAGCTACACGTTCCCAAGCTACACTTGATTCTGTTGCATGTGTAGACTAGGCCTAAGTTTCTGATTATAGTATGATATAAATATGAGATTGGGCCTGAGTTTCTAGGTTAATTCCTGGTTTCATATCAGTAGTTAAGGAGGGACTTTGGCAAACATGCCTTGCAGCTGATGCTTTACAGTGCTGCTAAAAGCTGGTAGCAAAAGCCTCCTTGCAGGAATGCCCAGTTCCCAACTGTGCACGTGACACCACTTTTGAGCCGCTTACACTCAGTTGTCCAGCCTCCTGCTCCCCATGCAATGACTACATGCAATATAACCCTCACCCACCTTCCTGCCACGCTCCTCCTCTGCCTTGCAGTAATTGCTCAGCCTTGCACTCTTGGCAGGTGGAGCAAAGTGGGGAGGTGGCCTATATTCAGCAGCTGTTGCATGCAGAAGAATATTGCAAACAGGCAGACAAAGCTGTGAATGGCAAGAGTTCTAACATTTGTATACTATTGGGTTGGGGCTTTAACGGTATGATCTTTTAATGGGGCTCTGAATTAGGTCACATCCACACCATACATTTAAAGCGCATGGCCTCCCCCCTGCAAAAATCCTGGGAATTCAACTGCTCCAGCTGAGAATTCAATAGTCCATGCAGCAGAAGCACAGAACAGAACAGCTTGGGGCTTCTCTTTTCTCTTGGGCAGATGGCACAGGCTGCACCTAGCTCTGAGTGTTCATGGGCATTTTGAATCAATACAGAAAGCATCCAATGACGCCAGCCTCTCCAAGGCAGCTCACTAGAGCAGTGCATTCTCAGATTTGCAGTCTATCTGCCGTTCCAGCTTACTAAGGATGAGGGTAGCCAAGGGGTGCATTTTACAGCAACAGGCCTCACTGGCCCGCCTTAGCTCTCTATCTTTGCTAGAGCCACAGCAGTAAGCTCAAGGCAATTCCACTTTTCCCTTGGTCTAGATGCGGCCCGACCGGCCGCAGATGCCAAATCAGTCTTTATGCTCCTCACAGCTGAAGGGGAAAGCCCTCCCTCCTGCCTCGTCTTACCCAGCCTCCTTAGAACTCAGCATTTTGGCCCAGATGAGGTCAGTGTCAATGGGCTCCTCGCGAGGGTTAGTGGAGCTGACCTGCAGCATCAGGCTCTCGCAGGGGGCGCCGGTTAGCGTAGCTAGGCCTTCAATAGCGCGCCCTGCCTGGAGGGCAAAGTATGAACCATGGAGTTTGGCCAGGGCCTTCTCAATAAGGGCGACCCATAGCTGCTTCCTCTGGGCCTGGGGGAGAAGAACACAAATCAATGGCTGCAAACAAGGCTGTCGACTAACATCAGAGTTCATAATTGATTCTTTCTCTTTTAAAAGACTGTGTTAATGGCATTTAAATACATTTGCATGCTACAGATGGGCTAAGGGTGACCTTATCCGCCTACAGCACAAGCGTTAACAAAGGGTGGACACCCTTGGCAAGAGTTGTGTGTACTCTGCATGTAATTAAATGAAAACTCCGAGCCCAGGCAATCCAAGATCTATGCCAAGGAAAAGTGGATTTTGCAACTATATAAATTATGCAAGCTGAGTGCAAATGCATAACTTATTCTGCTTTTTCAATGTTATAAGCATAATATAGTCTGACATTGTTAAGTCATAGGAAGAGTAAGGAGACTTCAGCCATGTCGCTCAAACCCTTAAAATCGTATTCAGTCCTCTCTGTGGCTCCTGAAATTTCAGTGTGTATTGTCCAAATATTTTTTGAGCCTTCTTGTGCAGGATAAGAACTAGAAACCTTTTTAAAAAGCAAAATAAAATCGAAGCTGAAATTCTCAGGAAGCTAAATTCTGCACCCACCAGCATATATTCACTCTTGTAAACCACATTATGAATTCAGCCCTCTCCTTGTTCTAGACCAGATGGTCAATCTGTGGCCCTCCAGATGTTGTTGGACTACAACTCCCATCAACCCCAGCCATTCCAAGTAAAACAACATCTGGAGGGCTGCAGGTTTCCCATCTAAATGAACTTCTAAGCTGGAGACCCCATGTACAGTCTTTTACAGGACACAGAGCACAGCATCTCTGTTTGCTATAAAAGAGACACTTTCACACAACTCTGTTCCCAACCTCTGGCATATCCCCCTCTGTGGTTTCCCCTGCTGTGATGGCTAGTGCTGGCTATAGCAAATCCCAGCACCCACCTGAGAGAAGAGGAGGTAGCCACACTCATCACAGGGCAGCATGTCATCCACCAGCACAGTGGTCCAGGTACCATCTTTGCAAAGCCGCACCTGATAGGCTCCCTCCAGACACATGGTCCGTGTAATCATGACCCGTTCCACCAACTCAGGCCTTTCTGCCAGCACAGCCAGAGCACTGAGGAACCTGAAAAAGAGGTGTCAGATGAAGCCAGTTAATACCGGGAAGGCTGCTCACCAGCAAGTCAATGACCACATTCAGATACCATTCTAGACCAGGCATAGGCAAATTCGTCCCTCCATATATTTTGGGACTACAACTCCCATCATCCCTAGCTAACAGGACCAGTGGTCAGGGATGATGGGAATTGTAGTCTCAAAACCTCTGGAGGGCTGAGTTTGCCTGTGTCTGATCTAGACTATGGTTTCATGAGATGTGCTTAGTCTCTTCCTGAACTCACACACTCTCATCCTCTCCTTCTGTATGGCACTCACTCCTGCTTTCAGTTAACTGCAGCTTCCTGTGTCATCTGAAGCAAGAACTGTACTTAACATTTGTATTATTAACAACAGATAATAACACTCTACAAGGCACAGGAGGGGCAATTAATTATGCTTCAAAGTGAGAAGCTGACTTGCACTATCGTTCACTCGATGATTTTTGGAGGTATTTTCATCATACAAGATAAGAATTATACTTTCTTTTCCAAGAAAAATCAAATATATTCAGTGGCGGATTATATTATTACTTCTCCAGGTATTATTAAAGACTCTAGAGAAATAAAGAATGTTTCAATTTTGTATGCAGATCATGCACCAGTGAAATTTGAGTGGCTCTATTTAAAAAATACTCAGATTGGAAGTTACATAATTTGATCTTACAAAATAAAGAAACCGCAGACAAGCTGAGACAGCATATATATATATATATATAAACTTAGGATGAATGAAATCTTCCCCCGAACTATAATAAGGTATTCTTCAGTTGAATTTGTATTAGCAGGTTGGAGTACAGTGGTGCCCCGCAAGACAAATGCCTCGCAAGACGAAAAACTCGCTAGACAAAAGGGTTTTCTGTTTTTCGAGCTGCTTCGCAAGACGAATTTCCCTATGGGCTTGCTTCGCAAGACGAAAAAAATTCTGGGTTTGAATTTCTGTGTGGTGGGTGGCTGGGGGAACAGTTGGGGAGGAGTTTGCAAGAATCTGGAAGCTTGTGTGGTTTTTTCCTGCATTTTTATGATTTTCTGTGACCATTGGGCCACTCTGCTGTTTTTTTAAAAAATTTCTGGGTTTGAATTTTGAAATGCTCTTCACAGTATGTGTGACTTTAAAGAGCACTTAATAAACTCTTGTTGTACCAAATTTGGCTTTGTTTGGACTTTTTTTGACCATAGGAACGCATTAATTGATTTTCAATGCATTCCTATGGGAAACTGTGCTTCGCAAGACGAAAAATTCGCTAGACAAAAAAACTCGCGGAACGAATTAATTTCGTCTTGCGAGGCACCACTGTATTTCAAAAGAAAATCAGTAAGAAAATACAGTAAAATAGAAAAATCGGATGCATGACTCTGTGTGTGTGTGCGTGTGTGTGCGTGTGTATGTACATGGTCTGCTGAACTGATCCATCGAGTTCCTATTGGAAAGAGCAGTTACACTGGTGGCTGGTCTTCTTTGTTCTACAGGTAGGAGTAGCTAATGTGTCTTCCAAATGCTGGACTCCAGCTCCCATCAACCCCAGCCAGCATGGGTAGTGGCCAAGAATAATGGGAATTGTAGTCCAACAAAGTTTTTGAACCCCTCAAAATGTTGATCTGTGCCGGATGTGTGAGAAACAGGGCTTCATAGGTTTATGTTTGTTTACTGATAACAGTATTTGTATATTGCCTAACAACCTGACGTTCTCTAGGTGGTAAACAACTAAGACAAATAAATGAGCATACCCTAGGAAAGTGTTTTTTTAAAAAACAAAAATAGATGCATGATTGCAAAATTTTAAAAGTCATAGGCTACAGGGAATAATCACTCTAAAGGCTAATTTTTCACCAATTGCGTGTGCAGACCACAATGAATTGATTTTTTAAAAAAAATCATAACATGGCACTACTAACTGAAAAGTTTCCAACTCTTAAAAATCCTTATTGGAGTCATATTTCCCCTAACAGCTGATTCTACTGGATTCTGAGGTTTCATCTACTGACACCCCCAGTTTCCAGTGATACTGAGCTGTGGTCCTCCAGTATGGGCAAAAGTGAGGGATGGTGGGAGCTGGAGTCCACCAGGTGACCCACTTTCACTTATACCACCCTTTGAATTTAGTAAGCAATTTATTTATCTATATCTATGGACTGCAGCCCATCCCCAGGAATCAGTATGTACTCCTCCAACCAGAGCCCATTGCTTCTGGTATCCGGTTAGCATCATTCCACCAGGAAAGGGCAATATGACAACTTGTCAATGGCTTTCAGACCTCTGTGGAATCCTGAGAAGCTTATCAGAGTTCAATGAGAATCAATTTTTGGATTCATCTTTAGGTTCCCAAATCATCTTATAACAAATTACAACAGGACAAATTAAAACAAGAACATTACAACAAGATGATCATCAAACAAAACAAGATTAATCGAAAGACAGCTTGTCTACTATAACCAACCTTGCTCAGTCATCGTGTAGCCGCAGGTGAGTGATGGGTGCAATTCTGGAGCACCTATTCTCACTTGACTTGACCAGCATTCTGCACAAATTGAGCGTGTACCTTAATATATGGTCTAGAATCTATGTCAGGGTTTGTGGCAGGCATGCAGAGTTCCTTAGCAGACACACTGATGTGGAAAGTGTTTTCTCAAGGCTTGAAAGCTTGACAGCCTCCAACAGAGATTATTATGGTTCATATTTTACACAGAGGAATGTGGAACTGTGATGCAGGCCGTGCTATTGGCCTGCAAGAATGACCCCAGAGGCTTTCTTTTCACTCCTGCCTTCCCTAGTAATGCACACATGCAGGAAAGTACTGCAAGGCCCAACAAGCCCGGCCAGCAGCCCACATGAATACTGTCCATGCTCTATAACAGTGTTATCCAACCTTGCACCCCCAGGTTATGTTGAACTCCAGCTCCCAACAGCCAGCATGGTCAATGGTCAGGGATGATGGGAGTTGTAGTCCAACGTGATCTGGGGAACACAGTCCTAGAATATGACCCCATAATCCTTTGGAGCGCCTCAGCAGATTGATCACTGTGAAAAATGCTGCTTGAATTATAACATGTGAAAATCACAGGGCTCAAAAGATTTAAATGTGATGTACATGTGCACATGCAAAGTACAGTCCCGCTCATGAGAAACTGTTCCATTGAGGTCCTGGCTTTGTAGCTCATCTTTTAGCTCTAAAGTGATCTGCATGTTGTCCCTGCTGAGGAGGAAAGCTCCTTTATTCTTGCTGGGGAAAGGTGGTTGGTTTTTCAGATCTTTCTTGCATGCCACCAGGGGGCAGCCAACATCTGTAGTCAGCAGAAAGAACGAAAGCTCTGAAAGTAGAAATGTAAAGGCCTTGGGGTGTCCTCCTACTCTGTGCTAGGAAGCCGGCTGAGCTGGCCGCAAATGCACCTGCCAGAATCTTGTGTCAGGATCTACCAAGTCCAGACCACACTCTCTGCTCGCGTACAATGGCCATTAGCAACGGGGTTCCCCCATATCTAATTTCCCCTTAAAAGTCACAGTTGAACCCGATTGCCCTTCATTCTTACCAGCAATTTCCCAGGAGCCCTTGCAGGATGTCAGAGGGCCGAGGTGTCCGGAAAACAGACCACTTGACTGAACGGTCCTTGAAGATGCTGCAGTTGATTTCATGAGGCCTCAGCCACTGCTTCACTCGCTGCTGGACACTGTCCCCTTCGGGGAAGCCAACTGACTTGGGCCCTGGAGGGAAACTGTCATCCACAAAGTTGACCTTGTTCTGCAGATACAAAATTTAAGAAGCCCAAGGGCATCCTTGTTACTGATATTCAGTTCCACATGAAAGCAGGGGCTCCTGCAGCAACTGTTGGAGACATGCTGGCAGTCTTGCTTTAGAGACACGCAGGTCCCGTCTGCACCATAGACTCAGAGCAGTACTATACCACTTTAAACAGTCACAGCTTCCCCCAAATAATTATGGGAACTGTAGCAGAGGGTTGTTAGGAGATCCCCATTCCCCTTCAAAGCTACAATGCCCAGTTTCCTGAGAAGAAGGACTGACTGTCAAATCACTTTAGGAAATGAAGGTCTTTGAGAGGAAAAGGGGTCTCCTAACAACTCTTAGTTTTATAGTTCCCAGGATTCTTGGGGGGGGGGGAACCATGACTGTTTAAAGTGGTACGATACTGCCTTAAATGTAAAGTGCAGATGGGAATTCAGTTCATTCAGGCTTTCTTTCCTGTGCATATGCTAGAACAAAAGGTGGTTAAACAACAGCTAAAGCTGCTCCTTATCCAACAAACCCAGTACTGCTGAAGTCTGGCTCCCTCTAGGGTTACAGGTCAATGCTATCTGAGGACTAGCCTGCACATTGAGGCAGGCATGCAGTGAGTCATACCTCTGCTCACTAAAAGGGATGAAACTGCCAACATCCTTTCCTTGATCAGCACCCATGGGGGCCTCAGCTGATGAAATACGAAGGTAAACAGGCAAGTGAGTTAAGCACCTGGGCATGCTCAGTAACAGGCTGAGTAGTCCAGTACAGCCAACCCCTTCTCCCCCTTAAATCTGTCATAGCTCCACTTTACATGTAAGCAAAACCAAGGAACAACTGCTATGAAGGCAGAATGCCCTGAATATCAATTACTGAGGAGCAGCAGAGGGAGAGGGCTATCACCCTCATGCCTGGTTTGTGAACTTCCCACTGGCATCTGGTTGGCCACTGCGGGGAAGAGGAATCTGGAGTAGAGAGGACATTGATCTGATCCAACTGCAGGGCTCTTCTTATGTTTAACATTGAGACTTAGACCTGGGACAGTTCCAGGCAGGTGACTGAATACTTGAATCCTCCAGTACAGCCCCGTTTTCATATTTTCAAGCTTAGCTCTGCAGTGATGCAGGCAAGACATTTTAGCTCAATATAACCCAGTTTTGTACCAAGCATTGCAGGTATGTGACTTGTGTACATTTGCTGTTATGCAAAATATTCTGCTTTGCACAAGAATGGAGACGGTGTCCTACAGAGCTATGAAATATGGCTCGATTACTGGGAAAACCAAATTAGCAGCCTGTCTGGCTTCTTTGGTTTTACTAAGCATGGTTCATGAACTTGTCTCCAACAATAAGGGCTAGAAACTTGATTTATTTATTAGAAGGTGGGGGGGTGGAGAATGAGATTCTTGGGATGCTGAGTTCTGCATTGCTTGTTCGGGTCACAGAATGCAAAAGTCCCTGATCGTATCCGTATTCAGAAATAGTGATTAAAAAGAATGTCTCAGAGTCAGACCACCTGATCTGTTCCCCTTCAGTTGCTGTGAAGAGAACTGGAGATCAACATCCACGATTCCTCACTTTGCAGGTTTCCTGCAATACATTTCTTCCAGTTAGAGGAAAGGTCGTCATCCTACACACACTTATTTGGAAGGAAGTCATTTTGAATTCAATGAGACTTGCCTCGAAATGAATGTGCAAAGGAGGGCTGTACTGCACAGTTGGCTTCTCTCCCTTCCCCTCTGTGCTGCTGTGTCCAGGCAGCAGCCACTGAAGCTCCCTCAAGCTTCAAACCTCCCAGCAAATTTCTGCCCCAACAGCCTGTTCTCAGTGCTCGCTGTGCTACCATTGCCAAGGCATGCGCCGGGGTCAGATGCTCCCTTGAGGTCCCTGAATCACAATGTGATTAATGCTGAAGGCTCTCCCAAGAAAGAAGCAGAGATGAAGGGATGGCATTTCCCAAAGAAACATGGAAATAACATTAGCAAGCTAGAGGAGAATTGAGACTAAGTCGGGGAGAAGTGTGGATCTATTGTGTGTGCGTGCGTCTGTGGGCATCATGCAAATCCCTGGCAGCCAACAAACTGCCTCTCCTTTAGGGGACCAGCCATTGGGGCTTCTAGCTCCAGAATCTGGATACTGATGCTTCAATACAAATCTGCCCTCCACAGCAGAAGACGGGCAAACTCAGGACAAAGTACAGACTTGTCTACTGCCTCAGAGTGGGCTTTCTCATGTACATGTTTCTCAAGGCACATGATTCTTGAACTCCTGGGTGCATGCCACAGTGATAAGCTGCAAGCACACGATATGCCCTCTGAAGGGCTCATACTCATATTAGGCCTGAGGGCAGGTGGCTAAGACTGAGCTGAGAATCAGAAGCCTCCTGTTTGAACCTCACCTCTGCCATAAACTCGCTAGATGGCCTTTGGCAAAACATTTTCTTTCAGTCTCAAACCTGTCACACACACACACAGCCCCAATCTGCAATAGAAGGACAGCACCACAGACTTACCTGATAGAGCTGTTGTAAGGAAAGAGCTTGGAGTAAATTGCTTTGAAATTTTCTAGACAGAGTTTTCAGTTGCAGTAGCTTGTGTATGAAAACACCCTTCCAAAAGAAGCTTATCTGGCATCCATTGTTTTGTCTATCTGGTACCACCCCAAGACATTTTTATTTTCCCAGGCCAACGTGAAATAGCTTTATCTACTATGCTTTTTTTAAAAAAAATCATGCTGATATTCTCCATGCTGTTTTTCCTTTTGTGTTTATTTATTGTGATTTTATATTGGCGCATTGAAAAAAATATTTTCTTCATTGCTGCTTTCACAATTTTACCTAAGGGTAGCCTAATAACATTTTAAATTAAATAAATATATATATATAGACTGTATTTTAGCACTGCTGCATGCAAGGAAGGAAGTGCACAGGAGCTGTGCCACAACTACCCTCACCCCAATAATACACAAAATTGGAACGAATCCCTCAAGTCACTTCAGCACGTGAAGATCTGTTCTTCTCAGCACCTACAAAGACCTTCCTCTTCCAACAAGTCTTTGAAGTAGGTATCTTTCGCAGCCTGCATCTGTACTAGAATTGTTTTTAGATGTTTTAATTACTGTATTGGTTGTATGTTTACTGCCCTGAGCTCCTTTGGGAGGAAGGGTAGGATAGAAATTTAATTAAATAAATTAATAAAATCTGGGGGAAGAGAGAGAATAGATTTTGTGCTTCAGCAAGAATTGGGAGCTGGTGTGTGTGGGGGGGGGGGTTTGAGGGAACGCAATGAGGGAACATGAGACACACACACACACGGAGAGAGAAGGCCTCCTCTATTCCTTGGCTGGAAATTTGGATGCCCTGCATGAAGGCCACCTGCTGTGCCTGTGCATTGCTCCCTCAGAAGTCTAACACGATTAAATTTCATTTCAGGCACCCGCTTGATGTGGCTTCAATCACCACAGGCCGCTCAGAAATAAAACAGCACTTGATCATTAAAGCCACCACACAATTAGTTATTAATGAGCGTGGCGAGTGGCCTTTTCCTGAGGCTGCCAAGCGGACCCAGAGGACACCTGTTCTTGCTAATTATACAGGGTGAAATCCCGAAGTTCTTCCTTGGGCTGAGCACCCTTTCACTGCATTCTTTAAAAGAGCACCTCAGGGGTTGGATCTCTGGATGGACTGACCCAGGGCAGGAGGAGGAATATTCCTGGTATGAACATGGATCAGTTGCTAGATAGAACTTAAACCCAATTCTCCTAAAGTGCTTTGGTATTGCTGCTTATTTCAGGGCCAGAACATCACAAAGATGACTGATCATTGAAAGCCTGCATGCCTGTTAATGACAGTGTCTCACTAGGGGCCCAGGTTCAAATCCCCACTCAGAATGGAGCCCATTGATGCCGCTTTTGAGTTCCTTGGAGGAAAATGCAGAATATCAATGCAATAAATTAATAGCTCATAAGTAGGAGCAAGGAGACTAAGCACTTCATGTGCTTCCTTTCCCCCTCCATCCAAAAGATATTAAAAGCATGAGAAGATTTGTCAAAGACAACAAATGCAGTCTGTAAATATGAAACGTGCAACTGAAAGCTAAATAACAATAACAGATACGAATAAAAAACAATGAATGTTAGCTGATGGCGCTCAAGTATTAAAAAATGGCCAATACAGTAGGTAGTAAGCAAGACCAGACAGGGCTGCTACACCAGCTCTCAAAGGATCTTCAAACACTCTCCTTGGTCTACCGGAGAACACAAAAATATGGAACACATGGAGATCACACACTGAAAACTCAAGAGTTTTGCCCAGTCCTCCTCTGCACCAACTTCTAAGATTTCAAAGAGCACTGCCTATGTCTTTTCCTGCCTGTCTACTGAGTACCCACAGGTCTGGAAACTTACTTTGTATAAATAAAAAGGACTTCTCTTTTGGATACAAACTTTTCCATGGTGTAATGACAGGCAAGAGGACACTAAGAGAAACTCACCTCTTGACAGAAGGAGACAATGTTTTCCCAGAGGGCTTTGGCCTCCCCTTCATCTGTCTGCCGCCGCTTCTCCACGTGCATACTCTCCCGGCGCCTGAGTGGCTTGGCGCCCTTGCGCTGCAACAGGTACCCCTGGGGAGTGTGGCAGGCGACACAGTGCTTGGCCTTGAACTCATTGAGCAGCGTGCAAGCCGGGCAAGGCCACTGGCTGGGCCTTTCTGGGGTCACAGGTGGCTGCGAGGGGAAGAGGCGGGCCACTTTGCGGGCCGAGGGGGCCTTAGAGCTGCAGGCTGGGCAGCTGCCTTTGTCTGAGCCACACTCAGGGCATTTGAGAGCCAACTCTCCCTGTGCGCCGTGTTCCTGGAAGCCATGCAGCTTGGAGGAGCCGCAGGCCTTGCACTTCTGAGAGGCTGTGGGGTTCTTCAACGTGCACTTGGAACAGGACCAGGTGGTGAAGTCGGGGCTGGATGGACCGCAGGGAGTGAAGCGCACAGAATCGCCAGTCAAGTCAATGGTGTCACTTCCCTTCTGGGAGCTACAGGCCTCGCAGGTGCCAGCTCCGGAGGTGTTGAGGAGGGAGCAGGTGCTGCACTTCCAGGGCGATGGGCTCACCTCCATTTCTTCTTCCAGCACACTCAGCCGCTTTGTCGCCATCAGCTCCTGGAAGCGAATGGCCTTCTGCACAGGTGCTGGCGGGGAGGCTGGCTGGGAGGTCTCAGGCACCGGTGGCTGCAGCTGGGGGGGCACCTCTCGGCGGCTGCGGGGAACGGGGTTGTTTTGGAGGCCGGGGGAGAAAAGGCTAAAGCTTGGCATCTTCTGGCTCTCTTGCTCAATGGTGGCTGCACCTGGGTTGGCAATGGGATGGCTCTCGGGGTTGTCCGTAGCAACGCTGGGCTGTGGGGTGGTGGGTGCTATGTGGAAACCGGCAGGAGCAATGACTTCAGGGACGACCAGCGCCTCTGGGGGGATCTTGGGCAGCGAGAGCTTGCGGGGACCTCCACAGGCCGAGCACGAGTTGGCCATTGGGGTGTTGTGAAGAGTGCAGCGCTGGCAGGCCCAGCCATCCTCCAGCCCCACTTCCTCCGGGCTCTTCCCCCAGAGTCCTCACCAGGGCTCTCGGCCTTGGGAAGTTCCTCCTTGCAGGTGCCCTTGGGCTCCACCAAGGCGGTGGGCTTTGGCAGGACTCCGTTGATGATGGGCAGCGGGGAGCCCCCGGGCCCAGGCTCAGGGGTGAAGCCACACACCTCGCAGGCCTCTTTGCCCAAGAAGTTCCGGAAGGTGCAGCGGGCGCAGGCCCATTTCTGCTCTTCTACACTGAGGCGCAGGATTTGGTTGAGGTCGGGCTTCTGGCGCGGGGCCTCGCAGATGGAGCATTGGCGCTGTCCTACGGGGTTCAGGAACGTGCAGCGGGTGCAAGACCATTCCCGCACAGCGGCCATAGAACCAGAAGAGTGGGTGTGGCTGCAACAGACAAGAAAGGCAACCATTACTTGACATCGTAAGACGGGAGCAGAAGGAAGTGTGCTTCCTGCTACTTACAGCATGGGGTCACCCACAGCGTGCCCATGGGGGCAAGGGTGCCCCTGAGTTCTCCTAATGCCCCTCCCCACAATAGCCCCTTGGATCATGAGGTGGTGAGGATACTTATGTTCTTCCCTTGGAAAAAATACCAGCACTTTCTCACTTCCTCTTTCAGTTCTATGCACTTTCTAAGGCTCTGATTAATTACCGTAATTTTTGCTCTATAAGACTCACTTTTTCCCTCCTAAAAAGTAAGGGGAAATGTGTGTGCGTCTTATGGAGTGAATGCAGGCTGCGCAGCTATCCCAGAAGCCAGAACAGCAAGACAGATTGCTGCTTTCACAGCGCAGCGATCCCTCTTGCTGTTCTGGCTACTGAGATTCAGAATATTTTTTTCTTGTTTTCCTCCTCCAAAAACTAGGTGCGTCTTGTGGTCTGGTGCGTCTTATAGAGCGAAAAATACAGCATGCTGAAGTGTCCAGAGGGAGTGGCGATAACAGCATTCATCCCAAAATCCACATGTGCCCACAGCCCTAGGAAAGTCGGCAACTCTCAACTTACAGAATGGGATCCAGACTAGATGTTCCTTTGAGATCAGGTGGCCTTCTGCATGCAAAGCATGAACACTAACTACCAAGCCATGCGACAGATCCACTTGCCTGCCAGGCCCTTGTTTCAGGGCAATTCCTGCACAGCCCTTTTTTTACTCATGGAACACACAGAAGCTTGCCAGGTCAATGAGGGACAAAACCTGGAAGCATCTGCCCTTCCTTGCCCTGCAAAGAAGCAGCAGACACAATCTCCCTTACAGAAATGGCAAAATCTGCCCTGGTTAAGTCCGTACTTCTGCCTTGCCAATTCAGAGGACAAAGCAAGAGAAACCAACTACACTTTCAAGTTATCAGCTGCTCACCTTGCATGGTAAGCAGGCTGCTACCTTACCCAACAGTAGCAGTTCTTCTTGTATGCTAACTTTTACCAGTGACGCACTTCTAGGGGCATGATTGTAGTGGGCAAGTAAACAAGTGCTGCCCTGCTTTGTTTTAGCCCCATTCTGAGAAGGAAATAGGGTAGCCACAGTCAAAGAGTACTTAAAATGCCTAGCAGCCAGCATCAAATTGTTAAAAGCCAGCCCAGCAGAAATCTGAGCACACATCAGAGCATCAAAGTACAAATGTATAAATATCTGGGCTTGTTGGATCCCAAATTCAATAGTACTTCACATTTTCTTGCTCAGTGCTAAAAAGAAGATAGGAAGTTGCCTTGGGCAGACTATCCATTGCAAACTATTTATATCCAAGACAAGGGCTTGGATAGTGAAAGAGTTAATCCTTGGCTCAGAATTGTCCACCCACTTTACTGTTCCTTTTGGGAAAGGATGTAGTTCAGGGGTAGAGCACTTGTTCTGCACGTGGAAAGAAGTTTCCAGGTTCAATTCCCAGTATTTCCTGGAGGAAGTGGGAAAGATCTTCATCTGAAAACCTGAAGAGTCTCTGCCAGTCAACATAACGTAGATAATGCTAAATCGAACCAGCTGTCTGACTCACTAGAAGGCAGCTTCCAACATTTCTATATACCACCAAGAAAATCTGCACTTAAATTCGCACAGTATGTCTCTAGAAATCAGTTTATGGGGGTCAGAAAGTGGCAATTTCCAGACTAGACTTGGCCCCTTAAGACGAGCCGCTTGGCCATTAACTTGCTAAGCCCTTTCCCTCTATGGAAACAGCTGAAGGAGGCAAGAGAGCACAGGAAAGAGTATCTTTTTCTTCTTTGATTCTATCTCCTTGTCTCCCCCTCCCCCCTCCCCTTAAGGGCTCTCGGCCAGCAAAAGTAACCATAGAATGACATTTCATAGGTTTTTAGCCCTGCTTCTTCAGCGTGAGCATTAGCAGAGGGGTGATTTGGGGGAGCAGCTCTCTGGGGTTTCAAGGCCTGAGTCTTTCCCAGCCTACCAGGTGATGCTAGGAATCAACACTGGGTCCTTCTGCATACTGAGGAAGGTCTATGACTGGGGAAGGTCTATGACTCTGTAGGTCCCAGGTTCGATACCCTGTATCTCCAAGTAGGACTGGAGAAAATCCCTGTCTGAAACCCTGGAGACCTGCTGTCAGTCAGCCTAAACCACTGGTCAGGACTCCCTAATGGGTTCACGGCCTGATCCAAGGAGGGCCACAACAGGAAAACTACCACCATGCATATATATGGTAAAAGATTAAGAAATGGGTCCCCAAATGCATGTTTGAATTAAAAGTGGGTCCTGGGTCTGGAAAGGTTGAAGATACCTGACTTAGACAATACAGAGCTAGATGAGTCAATGGTCTGACTTGGTATAAGGCAGGTTCCTATGTTCTTGTGAGAAAGCCACACTGCTGCAAGATGCAGAAGGTCGCCTGGAGTCTCCCACACCAACCATTGCAGACTTGGACTTAAAACTCCAGTGCTTTGTCATACTAACAGCCTCAGCAGTGGAAATTAATTGTGTTCCCAAGAACAACAGTCAGTGATCTGTTTGGAGGGGGCGGTGGTGAAGGGGTGAACCAGTTGTGCGCTTGGCATCAGGTTATGCAGTCTCCCACTCTTCCATTCATTTCATCCTTCTTGTTGTCATTGCCCTTCTCCTCACTCTGCTGCTTCCACAGGACTGCTCTCCCTCCCCTCTTGTCTCCAGCTGGCCAATTATTTTTCAAGCCCTGGGTTGCTGCTGTCCTAGTTACAAGGACATCGCTGCCTGCCATGCGCACCCTGCCTGATGTCTGACTAGCAGCAAGGAAGGAATGGCAAGGGGAAGTCCCGAGATGCACACTCCACTCTGCCTTGGTTATGCTAGGACACAGTCTCAGTTTGCTTTCCTCCATCAGGGCCTAAGCCGAAGTGTGGCTAAAACATCCAGCTAACTGCAGAAGACCTAAGGACCATCAGGTGAGCCCACTGAATCAGCCTCCCCCAACTTGATCCATTGCTTTGGCCGGGTTCACATGGACAATAGCAAAACAGGATCCCCCTGATTCTCTAGAGTTATTTCTGCTTGATGTCAACCATAGCTGGCAGGGTACAGCAGGCATCAAATGCTCCTGGGATTCAAACCTAACATTTTAGGTCAACCTTCCCCAATCTGGGGCCCTTCCACCAGTTGCAACCAGTAAGGCTGAGGAAGTCTGTTTTACACCATTACAAACGGAAGTATTGGTGGCAGCTTGGGGTGTGTGTGTGTGTGTGTGTCCTCCAAGGGTCAGTGCTTTGGACAAGGCCAGGAGTTATGACCCAAACAAGCTGCCCTTCCTTAGTCTTGCAAAAGCCCAGCTTCTAATTCTGGCTTGCATCCAAGATTAGTCATACTCAGAGTAAAGCCATTGAAATTAATGGGCATGCCTAACTTGCACCCCTGTCTTTCCTGTATTAAATTCATTAACGGTTAGCTAAAATATTAGAGTGAGAAGGCCATACAGAGTGCTAGTGGTAGCAATGCGGCTAAAGGACTGAGCTATAAATCAAGAAGTCCCTGGTTTGAATCCTGCCTATGTCATACGACTCACTGGGTGGCCTGAGGCAAGCCATTCTCAAGCCTCTCCTTCCATCTGCAATGCAGGGAATCATGGACTTACCTTACAGCAGTGGTTCTTAACCTTTTTGTGCCAAAGATCCCTTCAAGAATCTGATTAAAGCTATGGAATTCCCCCCCTGCCCCATCCACAAAGCCAATTGTCAAAGTAACAGGAAGAAAATAGTATTTGTGAACTCTGGGGGGAAAATCTTCTAAGTGAACGTGGACCTAAAGTTAAGAACCCCTGCCACACATGATCGCTGGAATAATTACAACTAGATAGCACCTGTGAAGCACCTCATACACTTAAACATAGTATGGAAACATTAAGCAATACAAAGCAATACAATAATGTATGGTGCAGACCACATTTTCCTCCTGCTGCAGCTTCTGAAGTTTACATTGTTGAAAGCCACCCTGAATAAGGCATAGGCCAAGTAGAGCAGGACATATATTTTAAAACATTATATAAATAAATACCCCCTCAAGCTCCCTAGCAAATATCAACACTAGAAATCACAGCCATGAAAAACATTTCTGATCTATAAACAAGCCAACCTACAGGAACGTAACAGGGAAACGGGTATATTCACAGAACAAAAACAGGAGCAATAGAATATGTTATCCTCTTTCTTCAAACAAAAAGCAACTGGATTTCAGATGAGGTGTCGAGTTTGAGTTTTTATTCCCTCCCTCTATCCCCCATCTCAGTGCTAGGCAACCCTCTCAAGAACCAAAAATTATAGCTTGCAGTTTAATGCCATGTAGCAACCGCAGGTGCCTTTATAATCCAGATTACCTGACCTTTTTTTAAAAAAAAAGTGTTCTGTTATTCTGGATTCATCCTGCAACTGTCCTACCAAAGTAATAACAAAGGTGAGCATTCAAAGTTAACACCACTACTACTTTACATATTTCCCAAATCAGCCGTGTTAGCTTGGTAGCAGACTTAAAAGCAAATTGGAATTTGCAATTTCCCAGTGAAGGGAAGAGGTGTCATGATCTCACTCTCATGTTACACCGCTGCTACTAGCAGTTCATGTTTAGCTCAAGTCGGCTGACGATTAGAACTGGCCCCACAGATACAACAGAGGAAGCAACAGTCAAAACATGCAGACTCAGATTAGGTAGAGCCAGCTACTTACAAACCCTTTATACTTCCAGACATTTGCTAAGATTCTCAGGAAGCCAAATTCCACAGGAGGTCATGAAGATACTGAGCACTGTCCAGTTACTATGGCACAGGTTTTCCTCTTTGTGCCAGAAGGGAGAGCATCTCTGAGTATGTGCAGAAAGCTCTCGCCTCACCCTTCACAATCAGCTCGCATGCATCTGGGATTAAAGCAGGTCTTTCAGATGAGATCGGATGGTCCACTCCCTGCCTCCAACAACTTGT